TGCCGCCGACCGCGACGCCTGGAAAGATTTGACCGACCGTGTCGTCACGGGCCTCACCCGCGGCCACAAGCGTCGTAGGGCGACGACAGAAGAGCCAGACGAGCCCCCGCGCCGCCGCCTGCGCAGCCACGGACCGGCGAGCGAATGAAGAAGAAGGAGATTGCTGTCTCTACGTATGCGAAGTCTTTGTGTAATTATGAAGATAACGCGAAACACGTTCATATATAAAGACAACAAATACTATGATTTAGGTGAGCCCAGTGCCCTATGGCAACTCTTTAAGCGAAAGAGAGTAAAATGGTAAGGTGGTAGGCATATATTTATGAAGACGTTGAGCACATCACTGTCCGGTCAGTCTCAACACAGAACTGTCCTTGTGCTAAAACTGGTTCTGGTAGGTCAACACGAGGGACCGTCTAACCTTGGGACTTGATAATAGTCATCGCAAATGCGAGACAAACAGGGAACTGTAGACGCTTGAGCTGGAATGGCTGTGGGTCGTAGATAAGCATGATGCAAGGTACGAAGACCTCGTCAACTTGTCCACCTGTCAATATTATTGTAGCCTTAATGCATCGATCTCCCAAAGCGCGCACCACGAGCCGAGTTCCATTGCATAAGCACAGGTTGCGCAAGAGCATGATGACAGTGGTGTTGACCTAGAGTTTGTGACGGTCCGGTACGAATCCTCTCCCCTGAACACGAGTGGGCTCACCTGCAAGCATTGGACAAGGGCCAACGGTCCCCCCATCCGGACACGAATGTCACTGAAGACGGTCACCATAATAAGAGGCCATGCTCGGCAAAGTGCCACAAGGAACAAGGAAGAAGCAAGATGAAAACGGCATATGCCGGAAATTCGTGCCTACCGGAAATTAGGTTGGAGGCCGGACGACCCTAGAAATAGGACCCTCATTTCAACAAGGGCCAATGGTCCCGCGACTGGACACAGATCAAAGAGAAGATGTCATGATTCAAGCACAATCACTCAGTATACATGGCATGTGTTGGGAGCGCGCTGTCGTCAAGAGAATGGTGGTCCTTGTGTGTCCCAGCGCTTCCAAAACCAGGGTAGCAATCAAACGAACTCCGCACCATCACAAGATTATTTTCGCGCGTGTGATTGGCTAAAATCCTGGTAGCTTCAAGTCCAATGTATCCGGATATTCGGATACGATGCTCGACTGCCGTTTCGGTGGCTCTCATTTCCAGGATTGGTGTCTGAAGAGCATCAAAATGACGAAGCCGTCGCCCCACGCGGACGTACGCCTGCCCGAGCGCCTCAGCTTCCCGGACCAAGAGCTTGCGACGCTTGAGCTCTGGAAGGAGCTCGACGCGTTCATGACGTCGCTTCGACTCTCGAAGGATCGCAAGCCGTTCACGTTCTACGATGGGCCGCCGTTCGCGACGGGGTTGCCGCACCACGGCCACATT